GATTAGATATTTCTGTGATGGGAGGGGTGAGACAATGAGTGAAGGCTTGGCTGTGACTTGACTTGGCAGAGAACAGGCTAAAATCATGACAACATTTATCCATTTTAAATACACTAACCTCACTCCTTTGTAACAACTAAGGCAAAAATGTCATTAATTCAGAAAATCTTTTCAGGACCCCACCTTGATGTTTCAGGACCCCACCTTGATGTTTCAGGACCCCACTTTGGGTCCCGACCCCAACTTTGGGAAACACTGCTTTAGGGTTACTATAAGTCACTTTAACATAAACTGAAGCATTGCATTCCTAAAACATTATTCTATTAATTTGTATGTTGTTGTTATAACATTAAATCAGAAAAAAATTACTGCGAAAAAAATATTTTGCTTAATAATCAGACAATTGTATAGATTAACAAAGGTCAACCAACCAACCAAAAAAAAAAACATTTTAAACTTTTTTTCTTTTCAAAATCTGTTTAAACTCAACAACGTGGGCATCTTTAATCAAAATCATACCAAAGTGTAACAAAAAAGAAGTATTCAACAGGTTTATAACCCACAGAGCCTTGATAATGTCCACAGACTGTTGAATTTTGTATTTCACAATTTACTTGAAGTGTTTAAAATTGCTCTTTTTTTCATAGTGTCACTTCAGAGAGACATTTATTCTCTGGCCTTTCTTATCATTTGCTTAGTAATTCAGCTCATACAAAAACTTGAAAATGAAGCAATTGTGAAAACCTTTTGGTTGACTATTTAAATCGGGCATGGACGTGCTCAGATAAACGTCAGGTGGTGCATGAGGACCTACCCTTTTCCCTCTGGACCATCAAGTGCCCCTCTCTGACTTTTTAAAGTTTTTACAGTGTACCTGTGGATTTTGATTTTATAAAGCATACAATAAACTATCAGTGCCCTAAAACATGCAATGCAATTTTACCCTCACACCCTTCTTTCATCGCACGCACACACACATTCCCGCAGTTCTCTTGTGCGGTGCACACTCTCCTCGCCACTCCTGTTCAGCAGCAGGTAATTTGCCTCCTAAACTTCAGATGTTTTTGAACTTCATTCGCATCAACTTCGTCTCGTCTGTGAAGATGATTAACCCGTCATAACAGCAGAACACTGATTTAGCTTATTTACCAATTGCAGCATAATTTCAAGTAAAGAAAGGCAGAGAGGAGGAGAGGAGATGATGTTGAAGAAAAGTCAGAGTCAAGTTCATTTTTCTAATAATATTACCGTAAATTAAAATTTGTCTGTAAAATGTACCTATGTGTTATGGCACATGTGTCAAACTCAAGGCCCAGGGACAAATCTGGTAGTTACCATTTTTTTCTGGCCCAAGGTAATAATTTAAATGTAAAATAGTTTTATAGTTTCTCTTTTTGTCTGGATTTAGTGCATTCTTAGTATGACAGTCGGCCAACTTTAAGCCGCCTTAAGCAACTTTATGTAATCATTGATTCTGGTATGGAAAGACAGAAAATTGACTTTAATTATCTGCTTTTGTATTATTTTCTTATTTTTAAGTAAAATAACGTTTTACTTAGTTAGGGCTCTTTTTTACCTGATTTGCTGGATTGTTATAAAATAGACAGTAAAGCTAGGTTATATACTGTATGTAGTAAATGCTACATAAAACACAGTTTGGTGAAGGTATCTTTGAATTCCTAATTATATAAGAATATTTTGTATTAATTTGTTATATATATATATATAGTATATATACAGTATATATAGTTAAATAACAATTCTTTAATATATATTGGCAGAAATTGGCCCTTGGCTTGGACCAAGTTCTGAATTTAGTCTCCCTGTGCAACTGAGTCTGACCCCCCTGTGTAAGGATATTAAATTTTGACAGTCTTATCTGATGAGTCTTAATGTTGTAATTCATTGCATTGACTTTTGTCTCCAAGGTGTTTTAACATCATATAGCAGCTGCAGCAGGGAAGAAGCTCTGTGCTGTCCTGCAGGAGGACATCTATGAGCATGGAAAATGAGGGAGGCTAATCATTAGAAAACGAGAGCCAGAGTCTTTGTTTTGTTGTTGCCAATTTGATTGTAACAGAAATCAACCTTTAGAGTGTTAAATATTAAATGCCTGCACCAGACAGAACCTGGTTACTGATCTGAAATAGATAAATACTGTATGCACAATGTACAAGCTGTGCCTTTAATAAATCCAACACTTCTAAGACAGTTGGTGATTCTGTGCAATGCACAAGGTGCCCTTTTTCACTTGAGGACCTGCCACCACAAAATGTCGGTGCACAGTGCACACCACTAAAATCTGGTGTGTCTGGTTTGAAATTATTCTAAGCACACAAACCAAAAATATGAGCACTGCTCTATAAGAAATCCAGGATTTGTTAAAGATAAACAGAAATTCGGGGAGATTACAAGATAAAAATCTTATAAGAACTGATGAGGAGTTTAGATGAAAGGATGTATCATTATGGTAAGTAGATATTTTCGAGACAGTTACCTTCCAAAACCTCTAGTATGACTTCAATCCATCCGTATTCTACCTGTATTTAGTTTTAGGTCAGAGTGAGCCTCCCTCGGGGAAACGAGAGGAACATGTTGCAGGAGGAAAGGTTAACAATGTGCAGCTGATCTCTAACATGACAACACGAGGGACTTAATTGGCAGCTGCTACTTCCAAACCGTGAACGTCTCGTTAAAAGACAGCAGCACCGATGACCTTCTGGCTCACCTGGCTGTCTGACCAGAACCTGGGTGTACCCTGAGGACTCCCGAGAGAGGCGATACCAGGCTCCGTCGGGGTCGCTCAGCCACTCCTCCACCAGGCAGTAATATGTCCCTGAATCGCTGCTCTCCGCCCGGTTCAGGGTCAGCACGTAGAGGCGAGGCGAGAGCCGCTCTGACTGGACTCGCCGCCGGAGTCGCTCCTCGTCCGCGTAGGCGCCGTACTCGAAGGCCCCTGTGCGCTCGATCCTCAGCAGGAGCTCGTCTGCTTCTGACCCCGCTGCACGTCTCACGTACCACAGCACAGCGTGCTGGGAGTCCTGGCTGGTCTGGGAGGTGATTGAACAGTTGATCCGGACTCGGCTGTCCTCCAGGAAGGCCAGAGACTGGTCATTCTTCTGCACTTTTAGCCTACTCTCTGCAAGGAATCAGGGAGGAGGGGTTTGGGGTGAGAGGGATAAAAAAAAGAGTCAACTTCTTTGGATGTAAGAAAATGTGAGCACTGGTGACAGGTACATATTGCAATTTCTGTTTTGTGACAAACGACCTGTAGTTGGGTTTATTTCTGGTGGAAGCAGGGCAGGAAATGACTGGAGACGCGTGGGAGGGTACAGAAGTTGACAAAGAGAAAGAAAGACAGGGAGTGGAGGGAAAGAAGAGTGAAAGCGAATCTAAATCAAAGGGATGGGAGGTCTGCTGTATCAAGAAAGACGTGTGAGGTAAGATGCAGAACAGGTGGAGAGACAGGGGTGAATGTGATGGGGGTGGATTGTATGGGAGGATATTATTAGGACAAAGGCAGGGCAGGGGGRCCCGTCAGTCTGCCAGAGAGAAAATGAAGGAGTAATGCATTTATAAAGCCAAGCAGGGAAAGGAGAGAGCAGATAGGAGTGAAAGGAGACGACAGAGAGGTGTGACCGAAATGGCAGGAGGATGCTGCAGCTTTCCAGAGTTCTGTGACAGGATTGGTTACAGCGACATCGGCTGCAGGATGGGATTAGCTGCAGGTACATCAGGTGTGACCGCCACCAGAGCCCCACTGTCAAATGCTTGAGGGGGGAGGATTAGTTTAAAGCATGCAGAGCAAACACAAAAAACTCTCTCACACACACACACATACGTCTTTGACACAACATGTAGGAAAACAAAGACACACAATTATAAAACTGCAAAACAAAATGTGAACTTTACAATTATCGAAAATTCGGGGTCTTTGCGGTCACTAAGTGGGAGTTCCTTGTTTCGTGGGAGTAGTTTGTTAAAGACATGATTGGTTGGATAGACTATTATGGGTGGGGTCAATAAATTGTGTTTACAATATTTTTCATTTTAAACTATAAATAAAAAGGATATTCGTCAATCACTGTTAGAATAATCTCCACCCGCAGAATGAGAAACACACACTATGTACTGCAGAGACCCCCTACTTGCAATTGTCATGCTAAATGCTCCATGTAGAGAACAATTTAAGATTTGATTTTGTGACATGAATTTGCAAGTTTTCTTTTAATTTTCTGTTTTTTMAATATGTAGATATACTAAAATATTCCCAAAACTTTTGTGGCAACTCAACCACAATTACATATGTTAAGAATTTTTTTTGTAAGTTACTATGAAATCAAACATATAAAAGGTTATTTMGAACTGTATTATAGAATTATAGCAGTTTTACAAAGTTCATTTTCTTTCATTTTAACCAATTTCAGGGTATATTGGTATACAATTCTAAAATGCAATGGAAACAAAGCCTTCAGCTGAATCTGCTGATAACCACATGTAAGTTTGAATGACATGATCTAATATGCTGACTGTAGTCTGTACGTCAACACCTATGGTAGAATCAGTAAAGTGTAACCTTAAATTTGTGAGGGTAGATCTGCTGCTAACTGAGAAAAAAAGAGAAAGAACAAGAAAAACAATGGTCATGAATAAATAAAATCCCTGATAAATATATTGGTGATCAAGAAGAGCTGAAAGTGATTAACTGTTAAAGTCAACCAGATACAAGATCACTGCCACAGCTAATTAATCTTACCAAACACAAAACTGACTATAACTCATTAAACTTTATTGACGCTGAGCTAAAATGTGTTGCGTTAGTAGCTGAAACTCATCCAGATGCGCCAGAGGTCATCGACAATGGTCCCAACTAGGTACTGCAGTGGGCGGGGTCATAAAAATGTTTTGTATAATTTTTTTTTAAATTATGTCTTTGAACAAACATTACCATAAATCCAACGTGTAGAAAATTGATGAATTAAATAATGTATTTCATTCAGAACTGAACACATTCAGTGACCAATCCAACTGAATTCTGCTTCAGTTACAGCCCGACCCTTCATGCATTCTGCACACAGAGAAGAACCCACCCCCTAACCYTACTGGGCAGGTCATGTTCACTCTGTCAGGTGCACATTACTTGGCTGAAAGCRTATTAGTCCTGTAATTTTTGCAATATTTCTACATCACTGCAGCTCCTAATGATGACAGTCAAAAATAAACAACTACTCAGGGTGTCCCAGACTGAAATACGTTGAAAATCCTTGCTATACAAGTGCTAACAGATCATACAGATCTTAGTTTAAAACTTTGGCTTGCAAGGTAGTGGGTTCTTTTCAATAATGCTAGTTATGATGTCATGATTTATGATGTCATTATTTGTCGTAACTGGAAGTATAAACACTTGAAATTACACATAAATAGATTTGTAAAAATGAAAAGTGATGTTTCCTAAATGTAAGTGTTAGCAAACTGCTATCATGATGCATGCTGACTATTAAATTTGATCTGGCACAAGCTGTGATGCATCTGCTCTGCTGAATATCAGAAAGTGTTGAGAATGTCTCTATTTTGTGCACATGTACGTGCACATTCTTTAATTATTTCATGTCATACTGTTTTTGTACTTGTTCTTTGCTGTTCTGTTAATTAGAAAGGCCAGTGAAGAAAAACACGACTCTGCACAATTTAAGACATATTGGCACTTTATATAGGCCCAGACATTTCATATAAAATACGACAGRAACCTTGACCAAGTTTATCCCTCTCTGTTGTTGCCAATATTTAAAAGAACTTAGTAAAATGTCTTTTTTTTTCGTCTTCATGCTTCTGCTCTGTTAATCAACCCCTTAGCACCCACCTTCTGTAACTCATGCAAGGCTTTGCTGCAACAGACTGACTGACCGCCTGGGGTCAGAGCCATCTGCCTTGAAAATTCTCATCTTTAGCTACAGATTGGTGGGTATGTTGAATGACTGCCTGCTTGTTTGTAATTCTCATTATCTGCGTAAAAATATATGTCCTACATGCAAGCCTTTGGGCYAGACGCATGGCTGTGAGGCATTGCCAGACCACCTCGTTGCGTTAGCGTCAGCAATTAGTCATCACAGTTGCCTCTCTACTCACAAGACTCSAACCTGACTACGTCTTCGTCCGGAAACGCCGCAGATCCTTGCGGAATCTTGGCAACTACRTTTTTTTTRCCCAGGAGAATTACCTCTGGAGCTCCTGAAGTGGAACCGTGCAGAATGGGATTGGCACAGGACAAAGCAACGCTCAGCCGTTGCCAGTTGAAGTTTAAATCAGCATCCAGGAGAAAAACTGGGGGCTGAAAAGCCTGTCYTCGTACACCGGTGTTTCCAAAAATGCCTTTTCAAATCCAAATCAGGCTAATTACTTAAGCTCTATTAGGTCGCATCAGAAGCTATTAAAAGTTATTATCACTTAAGACCTTGCTCAGACACAGACTGATAGGGCGAGTAAAATAGAGAAACAATGCCTCAAGATGGATGAGAAACAAAAAGTATTTAATGCTTAAAAAATGTCACAGTGTCCACTCCCTGCTGAAATCCTGTTGCTGTGAAAGCAGCCTGTCACATCCTGTGACATGTGTCCATTCCCAATGAGGGTGAAGTCTCCCCTGTCAGCTACTACCAGTTACATCAATGCATCTGCTGACTCAAACAGAAGATGGAAGGATTCAATAAGATGGGCTGCAAGCACTGTTACAGCACGTGTGGTATTGTGAAATCCYCACAGCTGTTCATCATGTTTGTGCTCTAATCAGCAAGATTAAAGTCCTGTTCACATGGGAACGGTTATGTGAATATGTGGAAGCTTTTTCAATTTTTTTAATTATTGTTTCAGCTTTGCGTCCACACAGAAACAGCGTTTGGGGAGCCCTTAAAATGCTTTCTTTTTTTCTTTTTRTAAATTGGGTTCCAAGGMGGAAAAACAATTCTCWAAAWGACCTTTGCGCTTTTGTYRAAACAGCTGAACACAACCTTTTCAAAACTGTGATGTCATTGACCCACCTRCTTTCTAGAACCCCAAGCATGACAGGCGATAATACATTACACCAGGGTTATTAAAGTAACGGCCCACAGGCCGCATCTGGCCTATGTGTGATTTACGATTGGTCCACCAAAATTAACATGTTTTTTAACTTAATTTATTTTAAAA